AACCTGGATTGGGGGTGCGGCGGACAGAGGTCTGAGCCGGCCCCCTCGCCTCCCCGAGTGTGGGGGGGAGGACACGGTGCGTGGCGCCCGGACATGGAGCTGGGGAGGCCCACAGGGCTGGGGTGCTGTGCCGGGGAGCTGGGCGCTGGGGATGGGAGGGTCTGCGCCCAGGCGAATGCGCCCCGGGAAGCTGGCCATGGTAATGGGGGCAGCTGTGCAGGCTTTGGGACGGCAGTCTGGGTGGCAAATCTGTAATGCCTTGTCCTTCTCCTAGGTGGTGGGACTGGCTTTGTGGGCAGAGCCCTGACCCAGTTGCTGCGGAGCCGTGGGCATGAAGTGACCCACATCTCTCGACAAGGGGGCAAGGATCGGATCAGCTGGGTATGAGATCAGAGTGGTCACAGGAGGAGGAACATATCAGGGCTGAGGACCAAGCCCACTTGCCCTGGCCTGCCTTGGCATACAGGGAATCTGCAGTGGGGAGTGTGGCTCCTGTTGATGTACTTTTGGTCTCCGTGGGCACTCCATGGGCCATCGTCATTGGGATGGGTACTGCTGTAGCTCCGAGGAGCAAAACCTTCTCTGTTCATGTCTGTGCTCCCCGCAGTGTCAGGAAGGAACTGGCTGGAGTTCTTAGCAGCCAGCCCAGATTGGTTGCGGGGAAGGCTTGAGCAGAGGGGAGGCTGAGTGTGTGATGTCTCTGTTACCCTTGCCTAGGACGAGTTGTCCCACTCTGGACTGCCCCTGTGTGACGCTGTGGTGAACTTGGCTGGTGAAAATGTCCTCAACCCTTTCCGCAGGTAACTTGATCTCCCATAGTGCTGATGGGACAAGGTATAAGCAAGACAGCCCAATGTTGTCACAGAATTTGGAAGGGCTCTGGGAAGGAAACGGGGTGTCCAGGAAGCACATGGGTTACGTAACTGTTGCCATCTGGGTCCTCAAGTATCCAAAACATTTCTGTGGGCCTGTTAAGTTCTTTGATGGCTTTGGAAGACAGGTTCCCTTAAGGATTGACATTTTGAGGCCAGGCAAAGTAGTTCCACATTTCCAAAATGACACTGGATGCTTACATTTAGATAATGCAAAATCAGAACCAAAGCTTGATTTTTATGAGGGTGTTTTTAGCAATGCCTCTGCTGGGTGCTTGGAAAGAATTCACCACACCCAGCTTTGGTGTCCAGCTCCTCTGCTGCCTTTGTCCTAAGGCAATCCAAACCCCGTAGCCTGTTGTGGGAAGGAGGGAGCCCCCATCTCCCAAAGTCCCCATGCATTTAGGTAGTAGGATCCCATGTTCTCTCCCTGCTCTGGGATGTGGGGGGGAATTCACGTTGCCCATCCTGTGCTTGTGAGAGGGTGTCTGCTGGGGCCTGCCTTGGGGCTGTTGTTTCCTTGGATGACCTTGCGGGGAGAATAATCGGTGACTCTCCCTTTCCCAGATGGGGTGATGCCTTCTGCAGGGAAGTCATCAGCAGCCGGGTTGAGACCACCAAGACCTTGGCCAAAGCCATTGCTGATGCTGAACAGCCACCCTGTGCTTGGGTCCTCGTCACCGGCATAGGTATTGGTTGGGCCTGGCCAAGGGATGGCTTATGCTGACCTGGAGAGGTATACCTCCAGACAAAAACACGCTTCTGGGGGAGACACGTCTTGCCTTGAAATGCCAGCTTTATTGCTGTCAGTGTCACTGTGTTCAGGCAAGCCTAGATCAGCTTTTTGGTACTGCTGGAGAGGAATTTTCATCCCTGTGCTTTCTCTTGGTGTCGTTAGGACAGGACAGTTTTCCTGTTTCCTGTTTTCCTGTCGTTCTCAGTTTTCCTGTGCAAGCCTTTAGGCATACTGTGGAACCAGTTTGTCTAAGCAGGGCCTCAGCTGAATTCCCCTGCATATCTCCATCTTTGCATTTCTACTTGCTACAGTCTTTAAAGCTGCCACACTTTAGCATCTGTGATGCCCAGTTTTGGAGCAAGCGCCTTTCTGTGCAGCCAACTCGGTGCATTGCTTGCTAGTATATTTGGTTCCTGGGGCTGCCAGCTCGATGTGAGTATTAATGCATCCTGCTG